CACTGCGTCATCGTCTCCGATGGAGTCTTCCTGCTCAGGTCCCGCGGCTCACTCATCACTTCCGGTCTGCCTCTTTTTCTTGGAACAGCGAAATCACTACCAAACTACACCAACACTTAATCTTGATAAAGTCCTTCATAAACGAAATGTCCTGAGTAGACGAAAAAAAAGTTATACTTCTAGCAACAGTTTTTAGAAACAACCTTGTACTATTCTGGCGTTACTAGATTAGATCTATTGGAAATCTGCTTCTGTCCCATATTTCCTTCCTTCTTTAAACCAGAGAGAACATCAGCAAATCTGTAGCCTACGCGTCGTTTCAGAGCAGCACAATACTTGGCCTCAATTCCTCCTACATGCCAACGGACGCTAGAAACGAAGAACAAAAAGTGATAGATAACTTTAAGAGAAAAAGAAGAAGGATGCAAAGCTGCGCACAATAATGCACCCAACGCAACAACTCCTACTGCTGTTTTTCTTTCTTTTTTTTCTTTTTTTCTTTCTTTTTTTCCTTTTTTTTTTTTTGATGCTATCCTAAATTGAAACACTGGCGGAAGCACAAACCGAAGGAAAAAAACAACAACCCAACAGACTTGAAACAAAAGTGATATATCTACCAAAAAAGACACACAAAAAAACTCAACTGGAAGCTGGATGGTTTCTTCCCATGTTTACAAACAACTCTTACTATAAACTTTATTCTCACAGCGTGGTTTCAAGCCCGCCATTTCATGTTTACATCGGAAGCCAAGGGAGCCCACTCGCATTGTTGCCAGTGCTCTGCTCCTTTTTCTTCTCATTTCTCACCTGACATACCAGGGCGAAATCTCCAAGCACTTTCTCGAGGTCGTCACCCACGCTGGTAGATTGAGCTGGACAAACACCCGTTTTCCGGTAATCCGGTTTTAGGGTGCTAATTAATTAACCGGTATCAACAGTGGCGGGTTCTGGCATGGTGAAATAGCTCACGATATTATGAGTCAACGGATGTGGGAGCGCATTATGTTACGTCTGCACATATTTTGTGCAACTTCAGCCACCGTATTGATATCACACACACACACACACACA